AATAACTGCTGTCTTACTTCATTCATTCAGCCCCATGTTGTGTTTATGTTAAACAATGCTTAGGAGGTTGAATTATTTAGTTTTATTTTGCCCTAACTAACCAAACTTGAGTGCCATATCCGTCCTGCCGACAGGATATTCAGTCGACACTGAATCTGCGGTTGCTGCGGAGCAGTCGAAGAAGTATGCTGTTTTACAAACTTGTGATTTCTCAGTTAACTTCCTGTAGAAGAAAATAAAACCGTGCTCAACCAGAGACAAAAGACGTTCGCGTCCACTCTTGTCTATCACCCCCTGATGTTCAAAAAGAGTGTGAACGTGCATGTGCTTGGCGGCTCTGTGTCCCTGTGTGAAGTGTGTGAAAGAGAGAGAGGGTAGAGCGTAGAAGTAGTGTGTGTGTATGTGTGAAAAGGATGCAGAGACATGACAGGAGGGAACGACTCTTGACCTGCCCTCTCCAAAGAAGTTAGGCAAAGGATCATCAGGAATACAGAAAAAATAGAAACATGACAACTAAACTAAAACAATCAACAAGGATTTGATTGACAGTACCCTGGGGTGCCTAGACCTAATTGTTGATGTATCACAGGGTGCAAAGTCACAACTTACTATGATCAACACATAATATAATCAGACTCAATCTGATATTATTAGCTATGCAAAATATTTAAATAGTAATACAATACTTACTCTTACACAGCTTGTTGAATTCCAACATGTGTCCAGATTGTGTTTGGTGTATTATTATGATTATTAAAGTAGAAGCCAATAATTGTCCTCATAGGTTGAAACAAATACATTAAGTTAATCTTAAATATATACAATATAGGATTTGAGCCAGTCTAGTGTGGAATATTTCTGAAGATCTATTGACAGAAATGCAATATAAAATCCATAACTATGTTTTCAGTGGTGTGTAAAGACGTTACATAATGAACCGTTATGTTTTTATTACCTTAGAATGAGCCATTTCTATCTACATTACTGCGGGTCTGCCCTTCAATAGGCATCGCCATGTTGGGTCATCACGTTTCTACAGTAGCTGAACATGGACAAACTGCTCTACAGAGCGCGTTTAGTCACTACATTCTTCTTCTTCTTGTAGAATTGTGGCAGTGTAGATTCTCATCACTACGTTGAATAACTACGTTCGAAGTAGAGGAAGTAACAATATACAGCAGGGATCGGTAAATAAGTTTTGCATTGAAGCAATTTTTTTTTCTGACAAGCAGCTACAGACTCTTTTTTAATATTGTTCAGAATTTTTCAAAGTAAAAGCTCTCAATTCAAAAAACTTTCTTGCGCTTTTATTTTGTAGGCAAAACCACTAAACAGGAAGTGATTATGTGAGTAACTGTTGCTGCCATTACTGAGATCTATTTCAGCACTGCTATCAAAGTATTTATTTATTTTTATATTTTGCCGCTATCAGAGCACCATAAACTGACAGCAGGCCAGATATTATTGCTGGCAGGCAGTTTTGGCGAGGATCCATAATCACAGAGAGAAATAACGTGTTTCCCTTGTCAGTGTTTGTATAAACATTATCTATTATGTGGTTTAGAATGTCCTAACCAACCTTGGTTAGGTTGGTTAAGGTTAGGTTTAGGGTGGGGATATGGTTAGCCAATCAGAGGTAGAGTAGGGGGACAGGGCTTGACGCAATGCTGCCGTGCGTCAAGTGAGAGTTGTCAAAAATCTGGTGGAGAAAAAAATAGCGCTGGGCTGCTGCAGTGTAACACAGACATGCTTGAGTTTACTTGATGGAAAGATGGCAGAGGGTGAGTACAGAGTGGGCCTAATAAAAGTAGCACTTTAACTTTAACTGCCAATCAGATAGATAGAGTACTTTATTAATCCACAAGAGACATTGAGGGTGCTTTGACCCAGTCAGAGCCCTTGAAAAAATATCAAGATCAACGATTGGCAAATGCCAGGCACTATGTACCACGCAGGGCAAGAACACACAAGCTTCAGGATCATCAAACACAAGCTAGGATGCCTGCTGGTAGTTCCCAGTCCAATAAGGTGGAGCTAAGGATAAAAGGTACTTTATTGTCACATACACATACATGTAGCGAAATTCATTCTCTGCATTTAATCCATCCCTCAAGGGAGCAGTGGGCAGCCGCTGTGCAGTGCCTGGAGACCATCTCCAGATCTGTGTCAGTGTCTGGTTAATGGCACTGACTGAAGAACCTAACATATTTTTGATGGTGGGGGAAACCGGAGCACCCGGAGGAAACCCACCTTCATACCGGAGTATGTTCAGGTAAATATTACCTATTTTGATATGTACTTAGTTTAACTGGTATTATAATCCTTGTATCTGTCTGAACATGAAGGCAACCACAAACATCTCAGTGATCTTACTAGTCTAGTGATATTTCCTCCCAGTTTATTAACTGGATGTTAAACTACTACTAGTGTTAGGATGATGATGATTATGAATAATAATCTTAATAATGCTTTTGATTATTATTTTTACTACTACGTTTGAGTAATTGTCTTTTTTCTGTTTATCTTTCAGGTTATGGTGCCCCTGGCCGAGGCCCCTGACGTACATGGCCAACACAGGAGTGTTGGTAGCAACAATCTCAATTCTCCTCGAGAACATGAATGATGGTGCAGTAGTTTCATCTGGGAGATGTGGGAGCAGCAGGTTTGTTACATCACACGAACTCACTAACTTTTTCAGACTAATAAATAAACAAAAGAAACTCACACAATGTCTAGAAAGGAAATATTCTTACGTTTATTTTCCTTATCAAACAGAACTCATCGTAAGCAAAAAGAATTCAGCTTAGATTTAAAGGCATCAACAGAGCCAGACTGTCAGCAGGACTATTATTCCAGAGAGAAGGGGCACAATAGCAAAAGGAAGTACAGCCAGCTGACTTCTTTTTAACTCTGGGGACACATACAGTGGCAGCCCAGTACTGAGAGCGGTGAGCACGGGATGGGACATAAGGTTTAATGAGATCTGAGAGATAAGAAGGCGCAAGCCCATTTACAATTTTATAAGTCATCAAAAGCACCTTTAAGTCTGATCTGACATGGATAGGGAGCTGATGAAGTGAAGTTAATATTGGGAAACTTTTCTGGTTAAAGTTAAGATCCTAGCTGCAGCCAAGTACAGAAAATACCTAAATTTAGCTACGTAGAGCTAAATAATCTTATTCTGCAACACTCGGGTACAGGTGTAAAATTTTTAAGGTATTTTTTATTGCTCCCTGGAGGAGTTACCCCCCTAGAAAAGCACTGATGGGCCCATGTAGCCCAGTCCCGAAAGATCCTGGCTGAAAAGGTGGAAATATCACATCTGTCCCCATCAGAAATGAACTGATTTCAAACAGTATGTGATTAAAAAGTACGCTTATTATTACATATATGTTTAGAATTTTAATACCAAAAAAATCCCCCACTGATGAGAGATGGAATGAGGAGGCTTTGCTGTTGTGCACTGAGTTAAAAACAGGAGTTTGTACACAGATTAAACTCTTCTATTCCACTCCACTGTGTTGTTTTTTGGGTGAAAAAAAAAGCTGAATCTCATTTCCTTCCCCCTGCTACAGCGAGCTCTGAGCAGAGTGCCCTTAGTATTTTCATCTCGCACATCATGCTTTTAATTATGGGACATATTGAGAAGCGTGTCCAATGCACAATGGCTCCGCTGGAATATTCATGTCCAAAGTTGGAGGAAAGTGGAAAGGGGAGGGAAGTGAGATGTAATTGTAATTAGTGAAGAACCTGGCGCTGCCAATTCTCAAAGGAGCATCTGCGTCACCTGCTGTGTGCATGTGTATACGTGTGTGTGTGTGTACATCTGTCCTCCTGGCTTAGTGTACCTGGACACACCAGGGAGTGTGAGGAGCTCTCTTGGCTTAACTAGGAGATGTACCTGTCTGTCTCCTCGCTCCGGGCTGAAGTGGCTAGTTAGCATATGCGCCGCCATGCGTGCGTGTTTACCCTATACGGGTGTGTGTGTGGGCATGTGCGAGAGAGTGCCCGTGCGTAGGCCTCATCTCAAGTCTCACCGGAGACTTGTTGTCTAAGATTAATGAAGGTCACTGGAATCCTCCAAAGTATTCCGATAATTAAGGCTTTGTTTATCAAAAACAAGTTATATTAAGAGCAAAAAGATTCATGGTAATTATTCATAATCTTAACAATTCAAGTGTAGCCACCTCATTTGTGCCTTTAATTCTTCTTGTTAATGTTTTGCATAAATCTGCATAATTACTTGAGATGCCTGTTGTATTTTTGACAGCTACTCAGTTCATGTGCACTAAAGGGTATCGAATGTGCCGCGTGCTGCATACTTAAAAAGCGCCTGTATTGCTGGAGCCCGCAAAGCATATTTCAGTCATCAAGCCGCCTGCGCTGGGCAGCAATGCACGTGGAGAATGGGGTGTTTTCTATCAAAAGGAGAAACTGAATGCTTCTGCTTTCTGGCGGTTAGAATGAGGGCTTTCATGAGGGAGGCGTACCTCCAAAACACGCAGCAATATGGGAACATCGGTGAATAAATCCTCGCTCTAAACAACTGCCCTCGCAAACAGGAGCTGTTGTGAGTTTGATTTTATTTTGAAGATCAAGCTCCCCCTGTGATATACACTCATAGCTTAATTCAGTGTGCGGGTGTGCATGCCCCGAGTCTCTGTGTACAGCCTGACATGTCGAGACGCCCCCTGTATAATCACTGCATAACTCTGATGCAGTGATCACATGTAAATGACCGCTGCATAGAAAACGCTGTCTCTTGGTTTACATAATCCTGTAATGACCTCTTGTAACACACTGTCTGTGATATTGGCCCTAATAGATTGTTCTTGCTCTAGTATTTTTTTTTTTTTTTTGACCCAACTTATTTTTTGCACTGCCGGGCCCCTGGAATTACATGGAGAGTGAGGCTGGCCTATTAGCACCGTGACATGAGTGATTTAATTTACCCTCAGTCTCTCTCTCTGTTACTCTGTCTCTCCTCTTATTTAGCATGCGACAGGCGTGGACAGTAATGCCTGTGTGATTGGGCTGCGCCGGGTGATGATTTTAATAAACACACACGCGAGGGGGCCACAGGTCAACGGTGTTTGGATTCATCAGCCGCACAGGTAGGATGGAGCTGTGAATGATTCAAGAGCATGCTATACACACACACACACACACACACACACACACACACACACACACTTTCAGCACTTTAACAACCGGTCAACATGACTTGTGAAGAAAACGCAGACTTTATTTTTTTTCTGTTCTTCTCTTTTCTTCACTTGTTCGCAGACGTTTGTGTGTTGGTGCACAAACATTTGCATGTTAAGTGAAGGCTAAAGCATCTGTGCATCTTGTGTGTGGCTGTCCACTGCGTCACACTCCTCTGCGTACCCAGCCCTCCATGCAGGCCCTGTGCTCCTGCTCAGAGAAACATGTGGCTCTGATGTTAATTGAAATTTGTCTAATGAAGTGAAGTTAGGAAAGAGAGAGAGAGAGAGGGACTTGCTGGAGAAGAGGTAGGTAGACAACGAGGGCAAGGAAGAGAAGGAGGAGAGAGAAAAAAGAAAGCTTCAACTTTCTTTAATTATGTTTACCCAACAGGCTTTGCTTCCTCATTTAAATAGCATAAACATCTGGCCGTGGCGCGCCACTAGCATGGCGGCAGTAGTCAAGCAAATCTTGTGGAAAATAATGAAATTAGATCCCTGGTGCTGTGACAGTGGAAGGGCAGAAGACATCCGCTCCATGTTAATAAAATTGCCATGAATGAGTGAATACAATTAGGAAATTGTCAGTGGCGGCAGTGAACTTTTGTAACTCAACGATGTTTGCATCATTCGATTAAGGCAGCAATTTGGACTTGTTTATTTGCGGCTGTTGTGGCTTTTATTAATTGTGACCCAGCAGTGATTGGCCTGCGATTAAACCAGTCACATATGATGTGGCTATGGGTGAGGGATGGATTGGTGGGCAGGCTGATGGAGGCCATTTTTTTGTTGTTGTTTATCTCTGTGAGTGCAGACTGAGGAAGCTGGAACTCTGTGTGTGTGTTTGTGTGTGTGTGTGTGTGTGTGTGTGTGTGTAGGGAATGTGTGGTTGTGTGTTTGGTTCAACCTTTGTGGATATGTGGTTTTAATTATGGCTTTAAATTTTACAAAACAGATTAATTTGAAATGTTTGGGAATTAACCACAAATGTATGTTTTATCTTAAAAGGTCTATAATTTAGTCAAACAAATTCAACACAAATGGGATACTATGTTCTGTCCTCCTTTACTGTCTGCCAACATTTCATCTGTCCACACTGGTATTCCACATGTAGCCCTTTTTCAACTGACATCATTTCTTGTAACGTCATGTGACGTCATGTAATTTGTAGTCATTGTTCTACACCCACTTTTTGGATGAGTTCCTGAAACAAAATTTGGGCGCTGCAATTTCCAAGTCTTTTCAGCGTTTGCTTACAGTGCTTTCAATCAGGAGTTGTCAAACAGGTATGTTGTCACATCACAACAAGGACGACCAACTGCTGTGAGTAGAAATAGGGATATGGCACAAAACTACAAGTGATTTGGTGCTGGGACACCGACCTGCTTGAGCCCTTGAATCTGTTGGCATACAATCTATTTTGTAAAAAAGTTAATTCCAACTAGTGCCAACAAGACTGACAGAAATGTAAACAGTTTTTTTTTTTTGATACAGTGAAAACCTCTTAATAGTGATCACGTCTGCCTTTTTCTTTATTTCTCATGCAGATTACCATCAAAGTGACACTTGTTTATTTATTACATAAATATCCTTCAAATGACTGGATAATATAAATGAATGTACTGTGTATAATTCAAATCCACTATAAAATATAGCTTACTGTAGTTCAAATTATAAATACGCTATAATCTAAAACAGTATTGTGCTGTTTACTAATACAGTAATGTCTGTAGGGAAAATAGGCTACTAAGCTACCTCTTGGTGGTGGTTTCAGTGCATTTCAAAATTTTTAGTAGCAGAGCATGAAAAACATTCAGATTTTTTTCACATGTTTGAAAAGACTCAAGATGAATGCTGTAAGCGGAATACTCGATTACTAAAAACACATTATTTAAACATCATTAGTATAGGAATTATTCGGTCCCACATGTTTTGATCCATATAAGTGACAGATCACTGTGACTGTCCACTGTAATTGAAAAATTGTTTATATCTTTTGTTAAATGCTAGACATTCTGTGATACCAGCCTTTAAAATGTGAGGATTTGCTGTATTTCAATGTCTTTGGGTTTTCATCTGTTGGTCAGATAAAACAAGCAATATGAAGATTTATTTTATAGACTGAGATATTTTACACACAATAAAGTCAGTAAATATATGCATGTCGACCGGATAACCCTACAGCTGTGCACATCGGCCGATGTGCTAGCAGGTAGGGTTAGCCTCCTTTGTGTTGCAACGCTATTGCAAACTGCAACATATCATATACACGCAAAATCGCCGTTTTGCATGCAATAGACACGGCTTTTCCAAAGAGAGAGATGCAATCGGGTTGTGTCTGGAGGAAAGCAAACCGCTAGTGGATTCTGAAAACTACATGTTACCCCTTTAAAAGGGGATAATCTTAATAATCTAATCTAATAATATATTCTAATCCTATCTCAAGTAATATAAACTAAAAATCATTACAGCAGTGCCTTAAAACAAGGCTGAATGAAAGGTCATTCAACTACTATCATAAAATGTACAAAACTGGTTGATCTGCCTCAGAAACAAGTGGAATTAGCTTGTCCAGCTCCCAGACTTGTGTGGTTATGAAGAAATATACCTGTTTTAGGACATCAGTGATGACATTCCTTGATAAGACTGATGCTGGAAAAAACGTTACTGCATCCGTTACTACTTCTCTTCCTAGAAGACATACTATATATATATCTATACAGACTGTGATGCTTTGGAATAAATCCCTTCAAATGCTCTCAGTCTTTATCATCTTCTCTCTTCAGGTCTGGCATTCACCATTTCAAGTTCCCTTTGCAAATTTGAAGTAGTGCGTCGCTACCCTCCGTGCTCGGTGCTTTCTAGAGAGAGGACTGTGTTTACTTTACAGCCTCACGCAGGCAAGGGAAGGGATTACATTTGTGGAAATGAGTTGTCATTTCAGGAGGTAATAATGGATTTGGGCCTGAGAGCTCGACAAACACAACACGGGGAGAGCGGGGAGGATGAAACATGGGAGCCGAGGTAGAGAATGTGTGTGTACATAGTGGATTTGTGAGCACACAGGAAGGATGGGAAACACACCCAAAAGCACACACACACACACACACACACACACACACACACACACACACACACACACACACACTATTTGGCTGGACATCTGTACAAATGAGAGTACTGGTGGATTCTGCTGGGGTGCCTGGTTGGGGGGTGGATATCCCACCACGAGATTCCTTCAATCTTCAAAGCTCCAGTCCGGTTGGAAGTAATGGTTTCCATCCCTGTTGCCAGATTGGGTTCGTCCTGTCATCAACGCTGTATTTACTGACAACCATGTTTTATCTTTTGTCTCAGCCGTCCTCAGAATTGCCGTAGTATTTTACGCTGACTTGAAATGTCTCTTTTGACTTTGGCTGGAGTTTTGGAAATTCCATTTTCGCCTGCCAAAAGAAACGGGCCCTGTTGGTTTTATCCTCTTGTCTGTAACCGTGACCTTTGGACTGCACAGTAGTATGCCAGTCACATTAAATCCATCATCATCACACAGGCCTTCTTATTCTATCCCACATCCCAAATGCAGCCATGCATAATGTGTCCGTCCACTGCAATATATCTATTCAGACTGGGACTGTCCTTGGGTCCACTTGGAAGGATACACTTACTTTGAAAATCAATTTAGGCAATTTGGGTTAGGTTTGGTCTCCATGGGTCTGTTTTTGGTTGGGTCCAAAATGTTGTACCATGGCAACCACTAGTCTGAAGTTACAATTTGGAGGAGAGTTTTTATTTGCACCTTAGAGCACTTATTTGCTTTCATCTACGCGTTTGCGTGCTCTTGAGGGCTACAACACATATAAAAATGATCAGTTAGATCTACATTGTATAAACTGGGAGGTTCTCAAGGAAACTTTGTTGGCTAGGGATGATTTGGCTCTGATCTGCCCTCTCATGGAAATTATTTTTAGTCCTCCAGGTAAATACAAAGTGTGCAGGTACTAGTGTGAACAATGCCATTTGTGTCACGGCTGCTTGTACAATGTAATGCAAATTAGAAATGCAACAATGTCAACATTTTTAATTCACTGGACTGGGCCACACACAGCTGAGGCCAATTTACACTGTTAAACATAAAAAACTATACTTCAAGTCATAAATCAAGTATCATCAAATCACTCTCACGATGGCATTAAAATGGGAAAAATAATCCATCTTTGAAAAAGACTGTGGGTCGTACCTACCATCAGGGGTCCCAGGCAGATTTTTTTACAGGCTTAGTATGTACTTCATACTTAATGATGGAACCATATGCTTGAGCTATTGAGAATGTGCCTTGATGTGTGTAAAATTATCGTTCCAGGTTATGCAGAGGTGAGGGGCAAAGGGGTTTGGTTATAATGACTGGCTTTGTTAAATAAGCTCCACATACTGGCAAAGGCATTTTGTCACATACAGCTGTGAAATCACAGGTCTTTTTGCTATTAACGATATATAAGGTGCGCCACAGGACTTATAGTTAATGCCCATTTCATAGAAAATATCATTAGCTTGAGTCTCTTATACACTGATTTATGCTGTAGCATAGGGGATGTGGTAGTTGTGTATGCATTCATGTATGTGCATAAGAATGTGTGCGGGCATGTGTGTATGTGTGTGTGTGTGTGTATGCATTTGCATCTGTGTGGAGAATGAATTTGTGTACAAGTATCTACTTGTGCATTTTTGTGTGCTTGCATGGATACACGTGTGTATCTGTGGGTGTGTGTGTGTCGTGAGACAGATGGGTAATAGCCCCTGTGCTGAAAGCGGGGCCCTGTGTAACGTGTAGCCCTGATTGCAGACCTGATTACCTGCCATATGCTAGCTGAAGGGTTGAGGGCCGGACCAAATGAGAACAGTATGCAAACGTT